GGGGGTGATGGTTCGAGGGCGTCCGCCGCCATCCCACGGCGCTGTAACAGTGCCAAAGTGACGCATGTTTGCACGGATGTACTTGATGGCGCGGACGCTGCGGCCAGCTGCTTCGGCCATCTGCGGGGTAGTGAGCTCTCTGCTGGCTATCATATCGTAAATCATCTGGCGCTGTGAGTTCGCTAAGTTGGGCGCTATATGGTGACTGGTGCAGGTCAGACTGAACGAGAACGGTGGCTTCGTTACAGGACTATAGAACTGCAAGTGGCGCAACACTCGCGACGGCAAATAACGAGAGCGGCCAGGCTGCCAAGCGCCAGAACATCTTCAGCCTTCCTACGTATAGAGACATGGAGACATTTGTATCGACAAACGTTTCTTCTCTTAATGGCATCTACAACGTTTGGCCCCGCTAACGTCGGGTTTCAAGCGGGCACTATAAATGGTCCCGTCTACACTACATTCTATGCTTCACCTGGTAAGTTGCGGGACGATTGGAGCTCGACACCCGATCCAACGCTAACCGGCGGGCCTCTGCCTAGAGCGACGCGAAACTCCACCACAGCCATCCATCGTGATACCTTTCGCACGAGACGCAGATTTTGTCGACAGAGGCACACTGCTCGACGAGTTCCGTGAGCGATGCACGCAGCCAAATGCAAGGATAGCGCTCGTCGGACTGGGTGGGGTAGGGTAAACAGCACGAGTGCTTCTTGGACACGGAGCACGATACACTGACAGATGCGCAGTAAGTCACAGCTAGCGATCGAGCATGCCTACCGCACGCGCGAGCAGTCGTCAGAAACATGGGTGTTATGGGCCCACGCTAGCAACGCCGCCCGGCTGGAGCAAAGCTTTCACGATATTGCCGACCGCGTCAAGATCGTAGGACGTCAAGATCCGCAAGCCAACATCTTCAAGCTGGTGCACGACTGGCTGTGCGACAGCAAGCAGCCATGGCTGCTCGTGCTAGACAACGTGGACGATGCCAGCTTTCTACTCGAGGCCCAACCTGCCAGCTCCAAGACCGCAGCTAGACCGCTGCGCGAGTACCTCCCCCACTGCGAGCACGGCTCGATGCTTATCACATCGAGAAGCAAAGAAGCAGCGAGGAAGCTGGTAGAGCAGCGCGACATCATCACGCTGGGCCCGATGGACGAGGCGCAGTCGCTGGCGCTGCTTGGAAAGAAGCAGGGAGTGCAAGCGGACAAGAGCAATGATGCTGAGCTGGCGAAGCTGGCTGCAGCGCTCGAGTACATACCGCTCGCTATTACACAGGCTGCTGCATATATCTTGCGAAGCGCACCTCGTTGCTCAGTGGCACAGTACCTAGAAGAATTTAGGCGCAGCGACGGCGGAATGACAAGCCTGCTAAACCACGAAGCAGGACATCTTCGAAGAGACGGAGAGGCTAAAAACTCCATCATTATTACATGGCAAATATCATTCGAGCACTTGCGACAATATAAACCGTCAGCAGCTGAGCTGCTCTCACTAATGAGCTTCTTCGACCGGCAGGGAATTCCAGAATCACTTATCCGCGGCGGCCAAGAAGTGGATAGGGCTAGCACAGCTCCAGAGAGGAGGGAAAGATCAACGAGCCAGCGTTTTAGGTTTCTCTTCAGCCGTAAACAGAGTCAGCCTAAGGCCCAGCGACAGCACAAAGAAAGCGATGGCGATGACAATGACGATAGGAGGAAATTTGAGAACGACATAGTGGCGCTGCGCGATCTCTGCCTTATCTCTATTAATACAGATAACGCTACTTTCGAAATGCACAGTCTCGTGCAGCTTGCAACAAGGAGATGGCTTTTTGCAAACGGCAAACTTGAGCAATGGAAGCAGGTGTTTGTTAGTAACCTTTGCGCAGCATTCCCGACAGGAGAGTATGAGAACTGGGCAGCCTGTCAAGCGCTATTCGCACACGCTAAGGCGGCAGCTGGCCAGAAGCCAGAAGCGACATCCTCGCTAATAGAGTGGGCTACGCTACTATATCGTGCAGCATGGTATGCAACGAGCAAAGGAAGCGCAGCAGAAGCAGAAACCCTAGCAATACAGTCAATGAAGGTACGAAAGACGGTCTTAGGGCGAGAGCATGAGGACACGGTATGGAGCATGGCAATGGTGGCAGATGCTTACTCACTTAGTGGACGATGGGACGCGGCTGG